TGAAGATATTCTTTTTCAGTGGAAAGGCAAATATACGGAGAATGTGGGTCAGTAGCTTTAGTATTTAAATTCCCTTGGTATTTAAATACACGTCTATATATAAAGAATTGACTTGTCCTGGTTTGAAGCTTTTGTAGAGTGGATAAAAAATTCAAAAACTTTTTTTCCCTCCTTCCACTGCCTGCAATCCCAAAGTGTATTACTCTGCGGTTAAAATTCTAAATTATTTTCGGCACTAGTGGGATTAGTGGGAAATAATTTAGAAATTTTGATGAAAACAGTGTCAGTACGAGTATCGATGGCTCGTAAATGAAGACATATTGTTCGCGAGGGTATTTAGATATTGAAACTCACGTAAATCATGAAAATCGGGAATATTTTTTTAGGTTAATTGTTTTAAATTTTGTCAAAAATAATTATAATTTTTTTTAATTTTTCAAAAACTAGTTGAAACTAAGAAAACATGAAGAGTAACAAAAAGTCATTCTTTTCTTTTCTTTATTCTCCAAAGAAAAAAAAGTTTCTGAAAGATAATCAAAAGGAACAAAAAATAGAAAATAAAATCTACAATTCTCTATGTATAGTACTTTCATCTTCTCTATTCTTATCTTCATTTCCCTATTTATACTTTCAGGTACTTGAAACATTCTTTGTATATAAAAATATTTCTATTCAACTGACTATTTTTGAAATACTTGACTAAAAATAGGACAATTTCCTGATGCTAAAAAAGTTTAGCTCACGGAAGTTAAAATAAAAAACCACACTTTTTGTGAATGAAAATGTCATCATCAGCTAGCAGTGCAATTTTTTAAAAACTTGTCTGAGTTGAAAACATAAACAGAATTTTTTTTTTAATGCAACAGTAAAAAAATTTCGACCTCCATCGCCGTTGCAAACTTTTGGAAACTAAAACCAAACCAAAAAAAGCTTTGTTTCAAAGTAATTACAGATTTACTTTGTACAAAGACCGGATGAATTTCGGATTCACAAGTTACACAGATCGGATTAATTTCGTACTAAACTGGACTTATTCCGGATGATAAGAACCTTACAGCAAAGCAGATTGTTGGGGACTAATTGCGGATTAGTTCAGAATTCTTACCAGGTTAGTCAGTTTTAATTGGGAAAGCAGTAGAAATGTTAATATCAAAAGGAGGTTTTGCATTTTATTCACAACCATAAATAATAATCGTAATTATTGAAGCATAGTTTAAGCTTCAATAAATTAAAATTTATTTGATTTGATAAAAATAATATTTTTTAACAAGGTTGCCACAAAAATTTTATTCTATTTTTCCCTGACTTTTCCCTGATTTTCATAGACACACTACTGGATTTTTTTTCTAAACCTAAAGAATATTCTGCAATTCACTCTAAAAATGATTAGATACTCGAAAAAATGTTCTATTACATTTATTTACGAATTTCTTAAAATGTAAAATTATTAGAAAATATCAATATTTTTATTTCAAATAAATATTAAATCATTATAATTTTTCCATAGGAATTAAGATTTCCAAAAATTTTAAATTCAAACCTTTTTGAAATTTAACAACTTACCTATAAGAATATTTTTATAAAACATAAAGATGACCGAGTGATAAAATCATTATTTTATATTATAAGAATATTGTTACTGTAAACTTCTTCAAAATTATTTTCATCATTTTAATTCAATTATTATTTTCTAGAATTTTCAACTAAAATTATTTTTTAAATCAATTATTTTTAAAAATATTTGAAAACATTTCTTTGAGAATTTTCAAATACATTTGTTTACAATTCAATTTTACGAAATTTCGATTATTCGGAAATTTTTCAATTAAATATAATAGAAAATAAAAAATTCATGCAATTTAGAAAAAAATTCAAGTAAACTTTTTCAAAAAATAATTAATTTTACAGGTTAGTTAAAAATATGAAAATTTCAAACTTACAAAGATTTTAATTTGAAATCTTTTTAAAATTCAATTATTTATATAAAAATACACGCTATAATACTTTTAATATTTAATTATTATCTAAAATTTTAACTTAAATTCATTTTTAAATCAATTCCAATTATCTACAATTACAATTATCAAATTTTAAATCAAATACAAAAATAATTAATTTCTTGAATAATTGAATGTTTATTAAAATTGAATTCCTATGAAGAATTTTATCAAAAATTGTTTAAATAATCGAATTCTTTCGACGAATTTTAATAAAATTTTTAAGCAAAATTAAGTTTTCTTGATGAATTTAATTAAAAATGTATTAAAAATAATTGAAATTCAGTGATAAGTTTTATAATTTTTGAAAATAATGGAATTAATGCAAAAAAATTATTACTTTTGAAATTAATTTTTAAATCAATTTTGTTAGAAAATTAGAATTGTAGATTAGATTGTAGGAGAATTCAATTATTTGAATACAAAAACATATAATTTATTGACTAATTGCATGCTTATGAAAATTAAATTCTCATAAAGAATTTTATCAACGGTATTTTAAATAATTAAATTCTTTTGACGAATTTTAATAAAATTTTTAAGAATAATTACATTTTTCGAGATATTCGATTAAAATTGTATTAAAACTAATTGAAATACTGCAATTATTGAGAAGAAATTTATAAAAAATTTGTAAATAATTTAATTTTTTTGGAAAATTTGATGAAAATAGTAGATATTGACAATCATTGAATTTTATTCAAATTTTTGAAAATAATTGAAATTTTTCAAAGAATTTTATTCAAATTTTTGAAAATAATTGAATTTTGAAGAAGAGTTTTATTATTTACAATGATAATGGAAATTTTGAGGACAATTTAACAAAATTTTTTAACATAAATGAATTTTTGCAAAAAATTTTATTACTTTTCAAAATAAATTTTTAAATCAATTTTTATTAGAAAATTGTAGGAAAATTCAATTATTTGAATATAAAAACATATAATTTATTGAATAATTGCATGTTTATTAAAATTGAATTCTCATAAAGAATTTTATCAACAAATTTTTAAATAATTGAATTCTTTTGACGAATTCTAATAAAATTTTTAAGAATAATTACATTTTTCGAGGAAGTCGATTAAAATTGAATTAAAAATAATTGAAATTCTGCATTTATTGAGAAGAAATTTATAAAACATTTGTAAATAATTGAATTCCTGTAAGGTTTTTTTATTATTTATGAAAATAATTAAATGTTTGTGTAGAATTTTATCAAAATTTGTTTTTGAATAATTGAATTTTTTTGGAAAATTTTATGAAATTAGTACATATTAAAAATCATTGAATTAAATTTATTAATCATTAATTAATTTTTGAGAAAATAATTGAAATTTTGCAAAGAATTTTATTCAAATTTTTGAAAATAGTTAAATGTTGGGGAAGAATTTTATTATTTACAAGAATAATTGAAATTTTGATTACAACTTAAAAATTTTTTTTACCATAATTGAATTTCCGCGAAAAGTTTTATTTTTTTTTTGAAAATAATTGAATTTCTGCAATCATTTGTAACTTCTCTAAAATTCAATTTTTTTTAGTGTTTTTTTAAATTTAAATTTAATCTAAATGAAGTTGAAACTGGCACTATCACCCATGTAATTTTTGAAATTAAATTTTAAAGTTAAATTTTTTTTATGAAGCTGAAACTTGTATAACCGGTTATCAGCATTCTCTTAATTTTTAAAAATTTTATGTTCGTTTTAAATAAAAAACATTTAATTTCAAAAATTAAGTGGGTGCTGATGTATAGTAACCAAAAATTAGAAATTCTGTAATGAGTTTAAATTATTTCAAATGAATGTAATTGCAGACAGGAAAAATATTTTAATTACCAAACGGCAGTTTTTAAAACAATAGATTCAGTTTAAAGAAACAAATGAAAAAAGAAGAAAAAATTCAGCTTCACGCTTCACTCTCCATTAGAAATAGGGAAAAAGCAAACAAGTTTCACATTTTGCATTTTTAAGCTCCGCTGGAACGGAGAGATTTTCCCATTTTTCTCGTGCAGCATATTTTCTATATATACATATATAGTGAGTTCTCGCGTGCGTGGGCATTATAGGGTATTAATGGATCTTCATTAAAGTGCAGGATGTAGATGCGGGGATATTACGGAGAACAGTCATGGTACTGACGCTCCGTACACGTGGGATTACCGAGCAGGCAATGCAGTGCCACGGATTATGGGTTAGATTGTTAAACAGTCTGAAACTATGATGATGATCGTTGCCAGTAAAACGTATAGTGGCAAGGCCGTACTTCCAACTCTATATACCCAGAAATTCAAGATAAAGAGTGCATTGTTATCCCCCTTATTGTATCCCACTAGAGACTGTCGGAGCTAGCTATTATTGAGATTTCGGTTTTCGAGGGACTTCATATATCGATCTCAATTTCAGCCAGCATAAACGAAGATTACGAACGTAAGCTCCTTTTACGAGAGATTATTGTATGTTCTCAATACGAGCATCTCCCTTCTTTTCCGGATGAAGGAGAATTGATGAATCAAAAACTTCAATGTCTAATCACAATATAAGTATTAATTCATGGAAGGGGGAATAATTGTTCTATCTCTATTAATAAATATACAAATATTTTATTCCCTGTTTAAAACTTAAGGGGGTTTGATAATTTTCAAAATTCTACAAATAAATCATAATTGATGATACTGATTAGCTTTCAGCTCTTATTACTTTAGGAGATGCTACGCATTATTTAGAGGATGATGCTTAACCAGAACTCATTACTTTAGCAGATGCTAAATATTATTTAGAGGAAGATGCTGATTAACATTCAGCACTTGTTACTTTTGCAGTTGCTAAACATTACTTGTCCATAGTTTGAAAGTATGAAAAAAATAGTTCATACCATAGTGGAAAGCAAAGTTTTACGAGAAACTTTTTAGTTTCTCCATCACATATATGTATCTCCATATTTGGAATTTGGAATTTTGTGTACAAATTGCCAGAGGCAATATTGAAATGTAAAAATTGCACTCACCATAGAACCAGCACTTATCGTCGCCGAAACGAGGCCTCAAAAATGTGGATGCTGGATCCTTTGGAAGATGGTCCAGAACAGCTGCCAATCCTGCAACAAGCAGAGGACCGCCCCAGGCGTATACTGCATACACTCTCAGTCTGAGAGTCTCCTGGCCCTTCTCCAAACTCGCAGGTCTCAAGTCTCTGGAAACGAAAAGAAAGTGTCGAATTTAATAAACACTGATAAAAACTATTCCAAATATAGTATTCCAAATATAATATGACGAGAGCTACTCTTGAAAAATACATTTCAAATTATCGATTCTTAATTCTATTAATTGCGGACAATGTTCCGATTACAGTTTTTTTTTTGTAATTTCGGTTATGCTAAATTTTTATTACTATACATTTGGATAATTCTGTCACGAGCTACAATATCTTTAGTTACCCTTCGGCAATTGTAATTAATTACGTAAAATGTAATATTAATTGTAGCAAAATTGTTATCCATATAAAAACTTAAAATATTATTTAAAACTTTCCCTCAATTCAATGATTTTCAATATCTACTATTTCAATAAAATTTTCCAAAAGAATTCACTTATATTTAAAAAAATTGTTTTTAAAATTCTACGCGAACATTTAATTATTTTCATACATAATAAAAAAATCTCCTAGTAGTTCAATTATTTAGATATTTTTTTTATTACTTCCTTATTAATTTCATTATTTTAATAAATAAGAAAATTGTTTACAAAGATTCAATTACTTTAATAAATAATAAAACTCATTACAGAATTTCAGGTCTATTAAGTTGGCACCACTACTTTTATATTTTGAGTTATCAACTATGTCACAATTTAGGGCTCAAATAGGGCTCTTCAACGCTCAAAAATAAAAATTTGTCGCCCCTCATTTTTTTAAAAAAAACTTTGATTCTGCTAGCTTAACGTTAAGTTGGCACAAATTACTCTATAACTTCAATAAATAATTACAAATCAAAAAAATTTTAACGCTATAATTTAGGGCTCATTTAGGGCTCTCCGATGGACAAAGAACAAACTTCTTAAAAATACTCTTTCTCTAAAAAATTGCCCATTAACATTTTTTTTTAATAAAACCTTGTTTTTGCTAACTTAACGTTAAGCTAGCACAAATTACTTTATAACATCAATAAATAATTACAAATCAAAAAAATTTTAACACTATAATTTAAGGCTCATTTAGGGCTCTCCAAAGGCAAATGAACGAACTTCCCAAAAACTACCCTTCAATTTAAAAAATTACCTTAACTACTTTTTTATAATTAAAAATTTTTTAAAACGTTACCTTTTTTATCTAATTCATTTTTCCAGCCTTAGAAATTTATTAAATACTATTTTTATTTATAGTTAGAAACTCTAAATCCTAAAAATCTCTCAAATCATTTATTTAAAATAAAGGACGTTAATGTAACTTCATCATTTTTCTGGGGCCATATACGCTCTTAAATTATATCAAAATAATTAATAATCAAACATTTTTTAACACTATATTTTTAGGCACATTTAGAACTCTCCAATAAATTAAAAAACAATTTCTCAAAAATACCCTTTTGCCTAAAAAATCACCGCAACCCCATTTTTAAAAAAATACCTTGTTTTTGCTAGCTCAACTTTAAGTTGACACAAATTATTCTGTTACTTCAATAAATAATTACAAATCAAACCAATTTTAACGCTATTTATTAGAGCTAATTTAGGGCTCTTTGACGTATGAAGAACGAACTTCCGAAAAATACTTTTTGTCTAAAAAATTGCTTATCCACATTTTTTTTTAATTAAACCTTGTTTTTGCTAACTTAACGTTAAGCTGGCACAAATTACTCTATAACTTCAATAAATAGTTACATATTTATTAAATAATATTGTTTTGTAAAATCTCTAAAAGTTGGCTACCATATCTAAGCAGCTTTCAGTGAACTTGTTGCTGTTACAACCAACATTAGTAAAAATGATTGAGTGTAGCTATCACAATTAAGATTTTTTATTTTTAGCTATGCCTATTATAATAAACCATATGTTAGCTGCGATAGCTAACTTTTTCTACGAATGAGTTGTTTTACCTTTCATTTTTTGAAAAGTCACTGCGTTTTTTTTTAAATGTATTATTATATTTTTTTATTGTATACTTATTTGTCAAAATTGTTTATTAAATCTTACACTGAAAAAAATTTATTTGATTCAAATAATTCAAATTATTTGAAAAATAATAATATTTACGGGCAAAAAAATCAAGTTTTCCTGGCGGCGATTTTTTTGAAATTATTTTTACTTATTAGTGGAATATGTAGAAACAATAAACAAAAAGAAAATTGCTGGTCAAAGGATAACTGCAATTTTAAAAAATTTTTTTCTAATTTTTTTTCGGTTTTTTTTAATTTTAAGGGTTGAAAATGACAACTTTTCCCTATCGATATGGGGGTCAAAATTTTTTTGTATTCATTGGGCATCGAGTGAATGAATTTTATGCAATAAAATTTATAGTCTCATTATTGGTTTATAAATAACAATTTTTTCCTATTTTTTAAAAATTTTTTTAAATTTAGGGGTTGATTTGACAACTTTCCCCTATCGATAATGGGATGAAACTTAGTAGGTATTTATTGGCTACCTACTTGAGTAGGAAAATGCAAAAAAATTTATGGTCTGATGAAAAAAAAATTTCGATGCTGAGCATCGATGGCAACTTCAGGCACCTTGGATTTTATAATATATTGTTGTAAAATATTTTAATTTTTATAAATTTTTACTAATTAATTAATAACTTCAAAAGAAAAAAACGTCATTTTTTCTGTTTCGCATATTAAAATCTTTTATAAAATTTAATATTACTTGTTGGTTTAAGTACTAATTCATAATACTAAATACTAGAGGTGTGCAAAAAGCTCGAAAAGCCGAGCCGAGCCGGGCCGCAATTTTTTCGAGTCGAGCCGAGCCGAGCCCGAGCCGGGCTCGATGTATCGGGTACCCGAAATTTTCGAGTACCCGAATTCACTCGAGTACTCGAATATTTCGGGTACTCGAATGAATTCGGGTAACCGAAATTTTCGAGTACTCGATTTAATTCGAGCTTTTAAATTAAAAAAATTTTTTTTTTGAAAAAAAAAAAATTTAATTAAAAATTAATGTAGAAAATTTTGGATTTTCTCAAGGGCTCGAATCAAATCGAGTACTCGAAAATTTCGAGTACCCGAAAGTTTCGGGTACCCGAAAAATTCGAGTACCCGAAATTATTCGAGCTTTTTATAAAGCTCGTCTCGGCCCGAGCTCGGCTCGAGCTCGAACTGAATAGGCTCGGCTCGGCTCGAAAAATGAAAAGCTCGAAAATACCCGCTCGAGCTTCGGGTTTCGAGCTTTTTGCACACCTCTACTAAATACTAAAAAATATTAGTATTTCTAACTATAAATAAAAATAGAATTTAATAAATTTGTAAGGCTAGAAAAATAAATTTGATAAAAAAGGGTACGTTTAAAAAATTTTTTAAATATAATAAAAGTGGTTAGGGTAATTTTTTAAATTTAAGGGTAGTTTTTAGGAAGTTCGTTCTTTACCCTTTGGAGGGCCCTAAATGAGCCTTAAATTATGGCGTTAAAATTTTTTTGATTTGTAATTATGTATTGATGTTATAAAGTAATTTGTGCCAGCTTAACGTTAAGTTAGCAAAAACAAGGTTTAATTAAAAAAAAATGTGGATAAGCAATTTTTTAGACAAAAAGTATTTTTCGGAAGTTCGTTCTTCATACGTCAAAGAGCCCTAAATTAGCTCTAATAAATAGCGTTAAAATTGGTTTGATTTGTAATTATTTATTGAAGTAACAGAATAATTTGTGTCAACTTAAAGTTGAGCTAGCAAAAACAAGGTATTTTTTTAAAAATGGGGTTGCGGTGATTTTTTAGGCAAAAGGGTATTTTTGAGAAATTGTTTTTTAATTTATTGGAGAGTTCTAAATGTGCCTAAAAATATAGTGTTAAAAAATGTTTGATTATTAATTATTTTGATATAATTTAAGAGCGTATATGGCCCCAGAAAAATGATGAAGTTACATTAACGTCCTTTATTTTAAATAAATGATTTGAGAGATTTTTAGGATTTAGAGTTTCTAACTATAAATAAAAATAGTATTTAATAAATTTCTAAGGCTGGAAAAATGAATTAGATAAAAAAGGTAACGTTTTAAAAAATTTTTAATTATAAAAAAGTAGTTAAGGTAATTTTTTAAATTGAAGGGTAGTTTTTGGGAAGTTCGTTCATTTGCCTTTGGAGAGCCCTAAATGAGCCTTAAATTATAGTGTTAAAATTTTTTTGATTTGTAATTATTTATTGATGTTATAAAGTAATTTGTGCTAGCTTAACGTTAAGTTAGCAAAAACAAGGTTTTATTAAAAAAAAATGTTAATGGGCAATTTTTTAGAGAAAGAGTATTTTTAAGAAGTTTGTTCTTTGTCCATCGGAGAGCCCTAAATGAGCCCTAAATTATAGCGTTAAAATTTTTTTGATTTGTAATTATTTATTGAAGTTATAGAGTAATTTGTGCCAACTTAACGTTAAGCTAGCAGAATCAAAGTTTTTTTTAAAAAAATGAGGGGCGACAAATTTTTATTTTTGAGCGTTGAAGAGCCCTATTTGAGCCCTAAATTGTGACATAGTTGATAACTCAAAATATAAAAGTAGTGGTGCTAACCTAATAGACCTCAGAATTTCAATTATTTTAAATAGAATTTTAATTATATTCCTCAAAAAATGTAATTATTCTCAAAACTTTTATTAAAATTCGTTGAAAGAATTCAATTATTTAAAAATTTGTTGTTAAAATTCTTAATGTTTTTAAAAAAACATTCAATTATTGAATAAATTACTTTTGTATTTAAATAATTTAATTCTCGTAAAATTTTCTATAATAAAAATTGATATAAAAATGAATTTCAAAAGTAATAAAATTCTTCTCTGAAATTCAATTATTTTTGATAATTTTAATAAAATTCTTAGGCAAAATTTCAATTATATTCAAAAACTTTCTTCAATTGAATGATTTTCAATATCTACTATTTTAATAAAATTTTCCAAACAAAATTCAATTATTTATAAAAAATGTTAAAATTCTACGCAAACATTTAATTATTTTAATAAATAATAAAAATTTCCTAGGAATTCAATTATTTAC